AATATATATGGCATACAGACATTATAAAGCACCTAAATTATTGGGACCATCTCAATATGTACTCTCTAGAGAGGTGAGAGGTATATACTGCATAACATAATACTATACATGGAATAAACTGGAACGCCAGGTCACAAATTTGCACGGCAAAATAACAACATACTGGAGTGAATGATGTGGAAGGAAATGGACCATAAAGCCAGTGAAGAGCAGAGGTACCATAGGCACATTCAGAGAACAATGTATGTATAAACATCAGAGGTCCACAGCAGTTCAATATCCTCCTAACAAGCATATATAAGAAATATTACCATAACAAAAGTTGACTTGGTGTTTTTGAATAGTGAAGAGGTCTAATTACATGAATAAATATATGAAAATGCATGTGTACTGTATTAGAAGTCAGTACACAGTCGGAAGAAGCTGCTCTCATACTCCTTCCATCACTAACCCAAAGACCCTACCCCACGAACAAGATAAACACGATCTGGTTTTGTTCAAATCATGTTAAGTTTGTTGGTCCATGAGAATTGTGAGAGCCGCCACTCTTAACATTGTCATCTTAGAAAAAACATCACATTCATAAAGACTCCCAACACCCACACCCATCCATCTGCTCCTGACAGCCACCCCACACACCAATTCCAACACCCACCCACACCCCCCCCCATTCCAACACCCACCCACACACACCCATTCCAACACCCCCCCATTCCAACACTCATCCACACACCCATTCCAACACCCACTCCTGACAGCCTGGTTGGCTGGCTGCATGCAGACAAGATGAAACAAGGGCTGTCTCACTCCCGCACCTACATTCTTGCACTCCCTCTCCCTATCATCCTCATACACGCACACAGAAACGATAAAACATCTAAATTATTGGGACCGTCTCAAAGCTCTCAAAATGTCTGTCTGTCTCTTTCTTTTGCTTTCCAAAACTGTTTGGAAAGGAGACCAGAAAGGTATAAAAAATATATATACAGTACATGGAAGATACTTGAAAACCACGTCCCATATTTGCACAGTAGAATAACAACATACTGCACTGGAACGAAAGATACTGAAGGAAATGCAGAATAGAATCAGTGAAGAGTAGAGATGCCATAGGCACAAATCAGAGAGCACTGTCTGAACATCAGAGGTCCACAGCTGTTCAACACCCTCCCAGCAAGAATTAGAAATATTGTTGGAACAAAGGTGGATGTATTCAAGAGGCACTTATCTAAGTTCTTGCAAGAAGTGCCGGACCAACCAGGCTGTATTGAATATATGGGCCTGCGGGCCACTCTAAGCAAGAGTCTGTTGGACCAAGTTATCTGGCCTCAGGCCGGGCTCGGAGAGTAGAAGAACGCCCAGAACCCTCCCCAGGTATACATACCCACTCTTCCTCCTCTAGGTCCCTCCCATCTCCACTCCTAACACCTTCATATCCACTCCCCTGACACCCTACAATCCCCATCCCACCCCCCCCTCAACCGCTTCCCGGGAGGCCTCTTACACAATCGAATAACGACAGATTGCCTGACTGACTGACTGATTGCTTGACAGACTCAAGGCTTTACTGAGATTATGTAACTGACTCAGAATGCCTGCCTGTTCATGCCTGCTACACAAAAGCATTGGCAGGGGAATGGTGAAGGAATTAGCATAAGAATCGTATAGTAAATAGCTGTGGATGACAAACTTAAGGAAAACAACACCACAACTAGTCTGCCACCGACACAAATTATGCCATCACTTAAATGTGAAATTACCTTGCTGTATTAGAACTGTAACAGTAAAGAGGATTAGCCCTTTATGAGTGATCATGGTACTGATGACTGGGGCAGTGTGGGTCATAAGGACATTGTTTTATATTTATCTAGTTGATTGATACAACTGGGGATATGTGAGGCTGTTCAGATGGATGAGTGTTCATACGAGCGTTCATATAATGGGTACCTCCAGTATGTGAAAAGTATGCAAAAATATAAATTTACAGCATCTGTTCCAGTATTATTTTATAGAAGAATGTCTCTTCTTTCAATTCATATCATACTTTTTATAATAAATCAAGCAAACTCTATTTTAGTCAACTGAAATTGTCATTTAACTTTGTTCACAGTCCAGCAAATTTACTTTATTATTCATGACACTACTGTACCTTAACTTGTCACCAATGGGAAAAAGAGTAAAGAAACAGAGTGCACCTTTATTTGCAAAACACCGACCAGAACTCCACATGAAACCAGAAGGCATGGCAGAATGTGCAAAATAGACCCATTGAAAAGCCGAGGTGCAATAGGCATGCTGAGAGATCTTGATCAACATCAAGAGCACAAGACTTCAACACTCCTTCTAGACATACAATACAGGGCATAACTAGCTGACCTCTTGCAGTGTTTAAAAGAGAACTTGATGAACCCTTTAAAAGGATACCTGAATAAGCAGGCTGTTATTCATATGTCAGGCTGCAAGGAACCGCATTCCAGGTCAGCCTGGATGACCACACCACCATCCGGGAGGCCTGGAAAGAGACCGTGCCACGAGGATGTTGATCCTTGAAATCATCGACAGGTATTCGAGTGGTATAGGAACAGAATTAAACTGGTGGCACCATGATGTAAGGAATGTACTGTTTTCCTGTGCTTGACTGGCTGTTTCCATGGAGTTAAAAGTAGAACTAGAATTGTAATGATTTGTTAAAGTTGTTTTGGATAAAGATTCTAATTCCAATTACAGTATCACACTGAACATGATGTATGGATCATAAATAAGAGATAATCTTGTACATAGAGTTGTGCACATGAATTTCTCCATAACACTGTGTATACATTCATTTGCACTCATGTGAATGTGCACACAGCACATGAATGCTTTTGTTACTTTATGTTTTCAACGGTCTGGTAGAACACGACAAGCTTGGAGCTAACTAGACAACTAACTACCCAACAAAGCCATCGAAGAGCCCTCCCAAAAAAGTATATTTTTTTCACCTTACTGAATTTTTTCCATTGAACAAATTTTGTTTTTTTAAGTGAATAAAAAATATTAAACAAAAATCTAAATTTTTTGGCTGCTTTTCTACACTTAGTGGAAAAATAGTTTCCAGATGCTAATGCGGTAAAAGGGGTTAAATGGCGATTTTTTATCAATTTCTCTAGTCTTCAGGCAGCTTTACAGTCCTTAAATTGTAGGATGCCACTGGGGCAAACACCTAGCAAGTTACACTATGGTAACTATAAGGATTCTGCAAACACGAAGATTAAGTACAGTATCACACCTCTAAATCAACTAAAAGTCACCAACTCTTGTCAAATGCACCACGCTACTTTGTATATTTCGTTCAGATTACATTGGTCAGTGGTTCCCGAGGAATAAGTCACCAAACATGGATGTCAGATTTATCTCTGGATGCAATAGAATGAGTAAAACAAAATGTTAAAAAAAATCCCACAAAAGAAAACCAACATATCCTGTTACCAAATTACGTAATATTAAATCTTAACATTCAGTGGTTCCTGGGAAATGAGCTGCAGAACATTAGGGCATCTAGCACCTGTTTCCAACACCTCCTGAATACTAGTCTCAGATCAACCATAGGGTCAAACACCTGGATACAAGGTCTGTTATACTAGGAGTGTTGCTTAATACTATAGAAACAAAGGGGGTTATAATAATGTCCATAATATACATGGTTATACTAAAAAAATTCCCTTACAAATGGGTGACATGTCTCACTGTCTAAGACCAGTGATTTATTATAGAGAACTGTGCATCTACTTTTGATTTACACCATTAGCAAAAAAAAAAAAAGTACTGTACAAATTTTTAGTATACCCAAAAAGTCAATAATTTTTTGTAAGTGTCCAGAGACCAGGGACTTCCCCTAATTATGTAAGACCTTATTTATATATGCAATTATGCATTATATTAGCCAGCAAAGCTTATTTGATTATATTTTCAAAGACAATTCACAAGATTTTGGATACAGTTTTGACACAGTCTATATAAAAAGTTATCTAATCAATACTGCACAATGGATATTACCAATCAATTTATAAACCCTAAGGAAAAATCCATTTCTTTCAAAAAAAGTGTTTGTTTGTTTAAGGATATGTTGTATTGATTACAAGTTGATAAACAAATGTAAATATCTTTCTGAAAAAATGCACTTCACTAATTTAGTGTGTTCATCTATAAATTTACACTTGAATATTTTGTACAAGAAGTGTAATACTTGCCAAAATACTCCCTGAATCATCTAAGTGGCTGACCTTAAAATACAGGCCAAGTGATCCATGCTGAAGGATGCTTAGTTATATCATCCTTTTTTAATTGAATTTCAACAGAATAAACATTTATGATGATGCATATAATATAGGCTTATACTAATCTTCATTTCAACACTATTGCACAACATTCTTATAACATATGGAACACACATGTTGCATGTAGCTGAAAATCTAATCCTAATGCTTTTTATGAAATAAATAACTCCTCCACATGAAATATACTATATTTATTTTGTGATTGTTAATAAAAGCTTTTCCCCTCAAGAGCCCAGTCCAACTGGGTTTCTTACAAAATGGGTTTCTAGAAAACAATGTACAGTAGAGTACACCCAACACTGTACGCATGTACACTCTTAATTTTTTTTTCTTAGTATGTAATATAATAATTGAGGGCTACAGCTCAACTGCATGAGTAGTTTGGACTCTCAGATTTTCAAATTTCTTCCCTCTTCTATACCAAGGTTAGAATATGTAATACATTACTGTAAAATCATATTTTTTAATCTTGTGTACAGATTAAGGTTTTAATATTATACAGTGTATACAGCAATGGGCTAATAAATAGCTCTATTTTGTAGTTATAAAATGGAGCAGTTTTCATTATTAAATCAATCTAAAAATTCAAAGTTAGTCCTCAATAAAGCCAAAAACTCCCAATAAGAATTATGTGCTAATGAACAAGACATTTATCAGAATTATCATTCCAAAGGAATAACTTACCTTGGGAAGGCATCAAAGAACCACGTTCTTTTGGTGTTAAACAAGACTCTAATTCCAGACATGAGAGGTGAATGGAGAATCACGGCGCCAACCTCGTATCTTGATGCTAAGTCTATCGTCGCTGCGGTGCCAATACTCTGCCCATATAGGATAATATTTTCGGGGGAGATGCCATAACGCGTTCTGAGTGCGTGCCAAGCGGCATCAATATCGGAATACAGGTTCTTCTCGGAAGGCTTTCCGGCACTCACACCATAGCCGGAATAGTCATAGCTAAAGATATTACAGTTTATTCTTGTTCCTAGACTTAAATAGAAACTGCTCATGTGTCCAAGGTCAGCAGCATTGCCGTGTGAAAATAAAATGCAAAACCTTGCATTGGGTGAACACCTCACAAACATGCAAGCAATCTTGTTGCCCCTATTGGTACGGGTGTAGAAAACCTCAATTGCTTCCTTTTCCTTGTCTGTAAACTGCCACTCGGCCTTCTCAGTAAGGTGAAGGCTGTGTCTTGAACCCGTCTCGTCGGGCGTGAAACTGTAGGTGGGTTCTGGAGGAATGAAGGCCATCTTGGCGGCTATGCTGGACGGGCAGGGTGGCCAGCAGAACAGACAGCATATATCCCGAATACTGAGGCCGTTCATGATGATGACTCCAGCTCCAGACAACTACCTCAGTGTAAACAACAGCCAGGCTTCCCTTCCACTCTTCCCACACTCTCCGTTCATCGGTTTACCACTCTCTTTCCTTCCCCACAAACACAACAAACCCTCGACAAACCACCAAAACAAACTTAATCACACATTAAATGGTCGCTTGCTCAGTCTTTACAGAGTCGAGTCCCGACGATACAATAAATCAACATCGTGCTTTCACTAGACGATCCCTTTCCTAACTCAATCCGCTCAACAATAAGCGCCGTGACCGCACCATATGTGAAGCCCAAAAAGGCGCGGCGGCGACAACAGCTGAGCATCGGGCGGCCGGGAAGGTGATCCGGGCCGCCGCCGCTGCCCGCCGCCACCGCCGCTGGGGGCTACGATCCCCTTAAGCACCGTCAACTCTGCGTTATTTACTCCTCACTATGACTAACTTCTTCCGGAGATGCGAGTCAAAGTAAGTGTTTTACCGAGGACTTATTTCCGCGACGGGGCTCCGCTATTTGGCGGCACTTACACAGCGGATGTTGAACCATGGAGAGGCGGCAGGTGGTCCACTCTACACTCCTCATGTCTCTCTACTCTCTATTTATCTCGTAATACAATTCATTTACTATCACCATATAAATAAATAAAAATATAAACAAAGTTTTCTCGACTAAATTATAAGAATATATTGCAAAAAAAAGGTTTCATTGAATTTCCTATATAATGGCCACTATTTTATAATTATATATTCTAATAGGTCCGATTTCGATCGCCCAATTATCACACTGAAAAAATATATATGCCATTTTGAGGTCTATCTTTAATCATTCTTAAAGCTGTCAGTTGATTTATTGTACCATTTTCAGACTGGATATAGTGGGCCCCTTAAACTATGTACTCACCTAGTTGTGCTTGCAGGAGTTGAGCTTTGGCTCTTTGGTTTCGCCTCTCGATTGTTAATCAATTGGTGAACAAGAGCTGGGACATTCCTCAACACTATATCTGTGATTGTCCTGTTATAAGTGATTTCAGACCAAATGGTATGAGGTACTTTGAGCTCTATAATTACTTCATACACTCAGGAATATTGGAAGATATTCCTGTGCTGTACCCAGATTTTCCTAGTGGGGGCTAATAGAGCCTTACATTTCGCGTTCTCTTCTGATTCCATGTATGACTAAGTATCCTGTGAGATGGTTATATAGAAGGGATGTGAGGATAAGGATTTGGGATATCTTGGTCTTGAGGTCTCACTGTATAGTTCTGTTTTAATCAATCCTTTAATCTTTAACCTTTAATAGGCCCTTTAATCACAGTCATCAGCATAAAGAGAGGCTTTGAGATCACTCGGGCAGGTTATCACTATGGTGCCAGTGTCAGAATGATTAAAATGATGTACCTTGGATATATTATATCTTTAGTGGATTATGCTGCACCTCTGAATGCTTGCCTTGGTGCCTGAAAGAAAGCTTAATTTGAGGGTTTGACAAGTTCAAGTATGTTTATTGAGACAAGAAAAAAATACGTCTCAAAGGGATAGAGTAGCTTAGGCTTTTTCTACCTCACTGGGCTTGACAAAATGCAGAGCGAGGCCTTGAGGTTTCTTTCTCATATTAAGTATCTTTGTGGTATGGGAGCACCGAATGATAATAATAATTATCATCCTCGTGTGCCCTCGTACCACAAAGATACTTAATATGAGAAAGGAATCACAATAACGTGGCTGAAGTATGTTGACCAGACCACACACTAGAAATTGAAGGGACGACGACGTTTCGGTTCACGTTTCACAATCGACTTGAGAATGGTCCAGGACGGACCGAAACGTCGTCGTCCCTTCAATTTCTAGTGTGTGGTCTGGTCAACATGAGAAAGGAACTTAAATTAATATCCAGAACGTTATTGGTCGCGTTACTGAAATTAATTTTCCAATGGGTATGGTAATGCTTAGACTCTCTCATTTTAACCCTTGCAGAAAAGTCCTCCAGACCTTCTTTATTAAAGTTCAACATTGTTCAAAACAAATAACTAGTACCGCAACGGAACTCAGAATGTATCAGATTTACAATTTGTGCCAAGAGAGAGACAACAGCGGCACTGATGACTGACGCTGCCCAATAAACTCGCCCCTCGGGGCAAAATTTTAATTGAAAACAACATCACTTTCCTGCTGTAAGAGAATGGTAGTCTCTCAGCCCGTCTTGCACACCTGTGGATGGATATGACTGTGCAGTATGATCTCCCTCTGGTGGCAGTGGCAAGGAGGCTGGAGTCAGGCTATTCTCCCAATAACGGCAGAGGAACCTATAGGTAAACCAATCAAATGTTGGGTTAAGTTAGTAGCTGCATTCTAATTGGTGGTCTATAAAGAGGTTCGGTGGTAACGAATTGTGAGGTGTGGGCCGTCTACCCACGCCAGCAGGTGAGGACGCCTCCTGTGTTGAGACGGGAAGCTGTGCATGTCTGCTGTGTAGAGCCCCGTGCCTGCAGGTCGTCCCCAAGTACTGGACTACTGGCTTGACTACTCTGTTAGTCCACTTCCACGGTGATGGTGTTGACATCTCAGTAGTATGAGAGAGACCTGATTTATGTAACTACTGTACCTTGTAATTTTGTGTACGCATTGTTTCACATTCCTGGTGCCTTGAGGTGACCCACCATGACTCACCACTTCAGGTGACCCACCATGACCCACCACCTCAGGTGACCCACCATGACCCACCACCTCAGGTGACCCACCATGACCCACCACCTCAGGTGACCTGAGTCGGTGCAGGCGTCTGCCTCACGAGTGCTGGCCACATATGAGGAGCTCGCGTATGTGATATATTCCAACACATGTATATGTACATTCAAATTTGTTCTGAGCCTTGTATTGAGCTCCTGTGACTGTCCTTAGACCATAACGGCAGTGGTGTTAGGCAGCCGTGAGTAATGAAGCATGTCACATAGCAGTGTTAAGTTAGAGATCATCTTGAGGTAATCTTGAGATGATTTCGGGGTTTTAGTGTCCCCGCGGCCCGGTCCTCGACCAGGCCTCCACCCCCAGGAAGCAGCCCGTGACAGCTGACTAACTCCCAGGTACCTATTTACTGCTAGGTAACAGGGGCATAGGGTGAAAGAAACTCTGCCTACTGTTTCTCTCCGGCGCCCGGGATCGAACCCGGGATCACAGGATCACAAGCCCAGCGTGCTGTCCGCTCGGCCGACCGGCTCCCTGTAATTACGTAATTCATTACATAATTTGCCTATTGTCTCAGGGACGTATACTGTGCCTAGATTTTCATTTGACGCTTTGTAAAGCTATATATATATGCTATATATATATATATATATATATATATATATATATATATATATATATGCAATTGACGATCACAAAACACTGTGGATGGATATGACTGTGTGATATATATATATATATATATATATATATATATATATATATATATATATATATATATATATATATAATTAAGTGTAATAAAGTAATTGTTGTAAAATATACATGGTTGTATGAGTGGATCTCTCCTCCCTCACGTGTATATGATACTAGTACTACATCAATAACAATGTTGATGAGAAAGTGTGATTCCCTGCTTCACAAGAAGCATTATACATGACCTATAATGTGGCAGAATTTCCTGTGGAGTGTGTGTTGTTGCTTGAGGCACCTTGCACTTGTTGATAACACTGCGAGCAGTTGTAGGTCGTCCTGCCTTGGGATTACTGCTGCACACATGGTACAGGTGGCCCCAGGTAAAGTCATTTAGGACGCCTGCACCGTGGGAGATGTCCCACTGCGTACAGAACGCGAGTTTTCCGAGGGAGAGAAACGCAGCTGTAGGACTGGGTGGGTGTGTGGGGGAAGGGTTACCCCGGCCTGGCTGTGCCACCCTGAGCCAGGAACGCTGGTCCTCGCCGCAAATAAGCTGCGTCCTCAGAGGGACTCTGAACTACTCCACTTCCTGCCTAACAATCCCCCCCGAACCACACTGTGGGTCACGGTACTCTTCGGTGTTCCATGTCTCCCCTGCCCCGCCCTAGTGGAGCCACCATTGTCCTTGGTTCTCGTTTTTCATTGCCAATTGTTATCGTTGTCATCGCTCTCTGTGTCATTTCGTCCAATGACACTTCTGTCATTGTCACTTTTTTAAGCGTGTCTATTATTCTCCTTCATCGTTTCTGCCTCAGTGTCCATTCACTAAGGGGAGGGGGCCCCCCTCGCCGCCCCCCGTTTCTTTAGTTGCCAATTTTATTTATTATATTATCCTATGAGTACTTTACATTTAGTGGTATTTCGTAGTAGCCTATGAACTCCAATCCACGACACAATAGGGAATTCGTTCAAATCCCGGGCGGGAAAGAAATGGTTGGGTGCGTTTCCTATCGCCTAATGCCTCTGTTCACCTAGCAAGAAATAGGTACCCAGGAGTTAGCTTGTTTTATGGGGTTGCATCCTTGGGGGGGGGGGTCAGTAGCACGACCTTGGGTGGGGGGGGGACCTCGTTATAAGCACGTATATAAGACCTCGTTATAAGCCTAACATGTATATATATTCTGCCTGCTTGTCCCCTGACACAATGAGTTATCTCTGTGTGTATTAGTGGTTTTAGGTATTGTATGTACTAGCTCTATCTATATATCCAACATTATGTTTGTAACTCATCTTCTGTGTTTGTGGTAGAAAATAATAATAATAATAAAAAATCTTCTATGTATGTACTTTTACTTGAATAAACATTTTGATTTGATTATTATTTGATTAGTATATGAAAGGAGAATAATACCCCCCACGGCGCAGCTGCAAGTGCAGTTGTCCTGAGAAAGCTGATAAAACACTCCCCCGGCGCTTCGTAAGCGATTTGGCCTGGATTCATTTCCTGGCCGGGGAGGATTGTCTAGGCGCCAATCCTTAACTGTACGCCTCTGTTCACCCAGCAGTGATTGGGTAAAGGTTGTATTAAACTATTTTGCAGGTCGTATTCCGGAGAAAATTAGAATTAAGGACCTGCCAGAAACGTTATGCGTCTTAGTGACTTTACAATAGTGTAAGAACTCTTGTATATACCGTATAAAAAAAAAAGAGTGGGGAATCCGTATAAACAAATGGGCCTCTACTCTTTATACCGAACTATAGTATTTGCTATATTTCTAGCACTCAAATGTTAATATGTCCCCACACTTGGCACGGTAATTGTAAGTGAATTATCATCCTTGTTTACGACCAACTTTTCAAGACAATTGTAGCATTCTCATGTTTGAAGCCAGATACATAAAATTATT